AAAGAGAAGGAAGCTGGAGGGTGGGGCTAGGTATTTATATTTGAAGGAAGGGGCAAATCAAGGTCGGTGACAGTCTTGGAATAATATTATTCCGATACCGAGAGAGCCGCAAATAGCCGTAAATAGCCGAGGCAGACTGACTTGTCGCCAAGACTACATGTACTTAATCAAGAGCATCACAATTATGCCTGCTTCTATCAGCACTGTAGTTAACTAAGACGCCGACTGTGACTAACAAACCTTCTATCACAATCACCAATCGTGCAACCTCCACTTCCACAAGGTCGTGAACACTACCTCAACTAGCAGCACTAATGTCACTAAGACAGCTAACTGATCTTGAAAATACCCCTACAACTATATTGCATGGATTATATGAGCGTTTCTGTCGTTTATCACTTCCGTTATTTCCCCCCTTTATGTCTAAAACCCTTTAGATTGACATGTACTATATCGTTCTATCTTTTCACTATTCACGTTTCATTTTATCCAGAGCTTTGACTCATCTCTTAACTACAACTGATCTCCCCTCCTTCAAACAACAACCAAAACCCCGTCTGCCGTCCCTTGTCACGCTGTCGCATTGGTGATATGATGTTAATATATTGAGTCTAAATATAGGTTTTAATAAATGGTTTAATAAAGTACTCGGGGAGCTATTTCAATACTCCCTCATGCAGGGGGGCGAGTGATTCGACGGCCGTCCTTCATTTGCAGAATCTGGCATGGGCCTTATTCTGATCCCATCGTCCTCTTCTGCTGGCATAGGCTTTACTCTGATCCCGTCGTCCTCTTTGCGATACCATTCAGGCGAATGCCTCGGTTCGTGATTCCCCGTGCTACCCGCTAGGGGCTGCATTTCGCCTTCTGGATCATCGCCTGTCTTCTTCTGACCCCTAGGTCGGCGGTACAGGTATGATAGCGCCCGGAAAGGGATTGACACTGCATGATTCAACTTTAGCTCCCAAGGAGCAGGTAGAGGTATCTCATCTGAGTCACTCGGAAACCAAATGAAGATAGCCATCGACTCCAACATGCTGACCGCGAGGAAGCCGCTATTCGGGAATTAGTAACCATGACAATAGAATGAAGATAGATAGTGTTAAGACATTTCAACTCACATGAGAACAAATTCAAAAACGCGCAGTCGGGTTAATACCGCACAAGGTATAACTAGCGCCGAACCACCGCCCTTCGTCCTGGTCGACGACAAAGGCAGAATCTCCCACATTGTGGGCGTTCCCTTAGGTACATCATCCGTATTTCGCCACTCATACGCGTTTGCGCAGCTTCCCAGAGGAAGCGGTAAATATTGTGCCTGGCACTCTGTGAAGATGGCAAAACTTGCGAGGACAATGGCCCGGTAGAGGGTAACGATAGCCCACCATATCCGGGTGGAGTTCCAGCTTGATTCTTGGGGGAACCAGGTGAAGATTTCCCAGGCTAAGCATACGAGTGACTGACCAGCGCGCAGTCAGCAATCTGGCAAAAGTGTTCTGGGGTTGCAACAAGCTTACCAGGATAAATGGTCCGTCTGTGCCGGGTTTTATGTATTGACTGTAGGGGGGCTCTAGTAGGCGGGGGTGACCGTGAACGGCGCTCCAGAAATTACCGAACATTCCTGCTGATAGTGCGAAGAGGAACATGTACAGCAAGTGGGCAGGAACGCCCTCCATCCTGAGCAGCGTTTGGATCATGGTGACTAATTACCTTAATGAGCGACAGCAGCCTTTGATTACGATCACTGCTCGACAGAGGGACTCTCGGACTTTAATAAGGGTTTGACCATCTTGCCAAGGCCTTGATCTACAGTCGCTTCCCTAACAAGTCATCGCAAAATACGAGCCGCTAAGCCATGGGAGAAATCGTATTTTGCCGATAATTTCGCTCTGTATGATGTTTATAGGATCAACTCAAGAGCCTTCCATTTCCAAAAATGGGAGACATGGCCTTGCAGGATGAAATCAGTTTGCCATATTCGATAACTAAGGTTGACTTTGTTCTGAGGTGAACCCTATGTTGTACTTGGCACAGAAAATCCCCACAGAACGGCTAACCTCTTTAGGGTAGTATTCCTTGGCATTGTGCCATTTCCATAGTGAAACGCACAGCCTCCGAACCGCCTCAGCCATATGGACATGTACCTGTGTACTTCTATGATAGGCTCTAAAGATCATATCTGCCACTATGAAATCGAGAAGTATGCTACGGGAGTTGCTCTGCTTTCTCTAATGGAAGGTGCATGATTCCTGTAATCAGAGATCAAATATCAACTTGCCCGATTGGGAAGTATCTAGGTCATGGATGCTTTAAGTCTTCCCCCCCCCACATGTGACATAGCCAGCCAATGAAAGCGAAGAGTTTCCGAGCGATCCAGCAGGTACAATCTGCCCAGCTGGCAGCCTTGTATACGTATGTAATCAATCATTCTTTACATCTGCTGGTAGAACGGCTTGATATTCCACCGAAGTACAAGTGTGGAGATTTCGGAATTCCTCCGACTCCGAGAGAGTTCTACCAGTGGTGTAGAGAGGACGGATGACAGCTATGCAAGTAGCATTTTCACATCAATGGCCAAGGTCGGTCTTGCTACATTTGTTGTTGAATATAGATTTGAATGTCGAAATTGATGTAAAATATCTTGTATGCAACTATGCAAATGTGTAATAATCCACTGCAATCGAGCCTATGCCCAAATCTATAAACGCATTCCGAACCAACCCAATATTTACATCGCAAAACCTAAGTACTATAAGATCAAACTTATCGACCAATCATACGAAGCTCAATTGGCCGTAACATGCAATATACCACGGAAGAGAAGGCAAAGCCCAACTCAAATCCGATGTCACCACCACCAGACGCTGGGTCTCCAGCATGCTTGGCGATAGGACCCGTCCACCACGATTGGCTCATGCCGACAACAACACCGACAATGCCGAAGACAAATGCAATAGAAGCGGCGATTCCCATGGGAAGCTTGCTGGGGTTGTCGTAGTCCTCCGGACGATAACCATCGAATCCACGTCGGAAAACGAAGTGGTCAACGAGCGCAATGCCGGAGTAAATAGCCAGCCAGTAGGCGATAAGGCTCATGAAGTTCTGGAGGACTGTCTCGAAGTGGTCGTAACCAGGGATACCGATGGCAAGGGAGACGCACGAGGCGAGGAAAGTCCAGATAAATCGCGGCACACGTTGCGTAGCCCGGCTCAACACCTGCAAGGTCAAACCGACGGAGTAGATGTTGGGGCAGTTGTTGGCGATAATGGACAGGGCCAGGATGACGAGGCAGAACTTGCCGAAGCCGCCGAGAGGCTCTAACACGGCTGCGATCAGGCCCCCGTTGACGGAGGCTCGGTAGCCCTCGGCGTACTTGTTATGAATTCCGTCACCCATCTCCGTCGCGGACATGATGGCGATACCGAGGAATTCAGTAAAGAGCAGGGGCACGATCAGACCAAGCCACGCAGAAAAGAAGACCAGACGACGGCTCTGGGTCTTCGGCTGGTAGACGGTGTAGTCGGCAGCGTAGCTGGTCCAGCCAGTTGCGAAACCGTAGACAGTAGATCCAAAGGATAGACAGGCACCCATTTCAGAGGTTCCGACTCCCATTGGGATGTTGATGAAATCGCCTGAGTGGGCGAATGCGCCCAAAACGATGATAAACACGATACAGGTGGGAATCCAGCTCCAGTACTCATACATGTGAACGAATTTGTACCCACAAAAGGTGACGAGTAGTGTGCAGAATGTGATGATGAGGATACCGGCGTATCCGGGGACTTCGTCATTGACCGCGTTGAGGAGCTGTGCACCGACGATGGCGTTGGCAGCAGACCAACCGACACAGGCGATAATGTTAAGGATGGCAACTAGAATGTTATTAATTAGCATGACCATTCCACACACGTCACCCAATTGACATCCCGAGATAACTTACTGAATTTCACAGCCCACCATCCAAACCAGAATCGCGAAAGCACCATTTGGCGCAGCCCAAATGGAGGACCAAAGCACGAGAAGAAGCACACGGTCATGACACCGAGGAGATTGAAAAAGAGACAGACCAAAATGGCATCAACGAAGCCCAAATTGAATGCAGACTTTCCAAGAACGCCAATGGCGAAGGAGCTGACGACCATGTTGGCGGCCAACCACTAGGTTTGGTCAGTGGAAAAGGCCTCCAGGCCAAGGCGATCACGCCAGGTAATTGCTGCAGGAACACACCATGCTACCAATATTGAAATAGGACGTATCGGTCCGCTCATAATCCGGAACTCGCTCGACACCCCGCTGCTCGATGTTGAACTTGCCGGCTACGCGCTGGATCCTGGCGTACATCGTATCGCCGTATTCGAAGCTCTCGCCGGGCACGGCGCCATCGCTGGAGCTATCCAAGAGCTCATTGCTATTTAAGTCGGAGGGATTGTTCACCTGAGGAGCTTTTTCCAGGTCCTCATCTGAGCTGCGGAATGCTTTGGTGAACTTGGGGAGCATCTTTTCGGTCAAATCCTCACCAATGAAGGCGAAGAATGGAATGGAGACAAGACTATAGACGGGATTAATCGAAGAGCTGGGTAGGCTCGGCGAGACCCAGCGAGATCAGGATGAAGGAATTGAATATAGAGAAAGTGTCACATTGCCCTCTCCTCCTTTTTTTTTTTGGCTCCACCGAAGGGGAGGAGCTGTTAATATAGTGTGTCGCGAGAATTCTTTGCGCGTCCCCACCGCGATCTCGCACTGTGGCAGGGATAGCCCTGTCGCGTGTCCCCCTTGGAAAGAAATCCATAAATTCCAGCAGACAAGCTGAATGAGGGCCCCAGCAAGGGATCCGCTCAACCAATCATAACCCTCCCGATAGCCCTAGCTTATCAGGATACCGAGGATTGTGCACTCCCGAGTTCGCTTCCATCTCGGACTGAAAGTCGGGCTGTCATTGGATGAAGTTGTGGTGAACGGGTCTGAAAGTGGGCCACATCTCGACAGATAAGAAGAACTTCCGTCCGATATCTCTCAGAGATAGTGACAGTATTCTTCACTGCTGGACTCTCTTCCTTGCACCAATCATGCCAAGTACTCTTATCGTTCTGCAGTCTATAAGGCTAAACCTTGTATTCAGACAACACCCCTGATTGGCAGCAATCCACACATGTCTTTCAATCAAGCTTTGTGGTCCTTGGCTTGGCGGACGGGACACGCCGATGTGCGCGAAGCTTGACATCTGCAATGCTTCGCTGCTTTTTACTTCTCACGGTGATTCTCGTCCCCGCGTTTTGCGGGGGAATATCCACGGACCTAGCGTTACTATGCCCCGGATGTTCTCGGGTTGACTCCCGATATATCCTAGACCTTATCTCATATCTCAAATATGCGTGGTCTTATCCTCTTCAATCAGCAATGGGTCATACGACCACGGATAGCCAGGGACAGTGATCCTCGAAGCCCGAGCCGGTCGGACATATCCATGCATGTTCCGAAGACACTTAGTATGTTTGCCATATCTCTAGCCTTTGACCATTCTTATCCCACCGAAGAATATAGCCACCGGGGGGGAAGGCGGCAGAGACTGCCGTTCTGAACTTCATATTGGTGCGATCGCGGACCAGATCTCTTGACTGATCCGATCATATAAACTTGCTTCGATCTATGCTTGATTCTGTCTAGCGCGCTCAGCGCAAACCCAAGGCTCTTCATTGGCTTGGAGGCTGCGATTTCCAACCTGGCATCGTATTTTGAACAAATTGAAGTAAGTGATGTCGGTATTCTCGTTCAACACTTGCTTTTCCCATTTTACTGCCGGCGCAAGTAATTATAGCTTTATTAAACGACGTATACGTACAACCATTAAATTCTCTAGATTAAGTATCCCCCTATATTGCCTGAATATAGGCTACGATGACAGTTTTTGTTTGTGCCTCTCCTCCCTTCAATAAGTAACTAATACGATCAATAAATGATATATATGATACACACTTACCCCTCGCAGCTCACCCCTCATCCCTATATACCATTAATGTGGCTTGATTGATGCCCACTGTCTCGGCGCTTGCTAAGCCAAGGCCGTGACGACTAATATCAGCTCCAAGCTCAAGAGATCCCGCGACACCCGCGTAAACATTGAAGCGACCAACGAAAATACAAACATCATTGCTACTGTCCGATATATTAGTTCAGAACGTAGCTTTCTCAACTACTCAATACGATTCTCACATCCAACCACGCATCTTGCCTTAGTCCCTTCGAGCAGCTATGGTTCTCCGTTTACACTCATATATGGTGCTAAATCATTCCCTTGCTCTCCTTCACCGCACCCTCCTATTTGCCCATACGGTTACTGTAACGCTCACACCAATCCCCTCGACAACTGCACCCGACACGAACCTGTAATTGAGATGCACTGGGAAACCTTCGAATGACTAGCGTGAGATTGAAGAAGGATATCTCTGGTAGATCTGAACAGCAACCCCGGGAAGCATCGGAAGCATCATTATCATTGCGATCTATAGACGTTCTTTCCGGAAAGGGGTTTACTTTTGGAAGAGACCAGAGTATACGGTAAGGTGCAAGCTTGTTGAGCTTCATTGATAGTCTCATCAAGACCAGGCCTCTTACGTGTCTCTCCTTTTTGTCGCCGTCGCCGTCACATGTTCGGTCACGTTGCTATGGGGAATCCTAGTGGCCTAGTCTCAGGTTACTATATGGACACCCAGCTGTCGCACTTGCAGTCGCGCGTTTGGTCACGTTGCCATGGCGAACCCTTGCGTCTTAATGCTCCCCATGAATAGTGCCACTACAGCTGCCTACCTAGGTACTGCGTTTGCAGTCTCGTCTTGGTCACGTTGCCATGACCAACCCTAGCTCTAGTGCTCCTCACGAATAGAAGGCTATAGTTGTCTTCTCCTTTCCTTTCCTTCTCATAGCCCTATTAAAACAGTCGACCATAGAAATCGAATAATGCCGATAATCTTTGGCTTAGTCTATAATGTAATCTACAAGTTTTCGACATATTCATACAATTTTGGCAAAGGCGGAGTATGTAGCTCGAGGGTAAGAGCGATCAAGCTCGACTGGACTTTCGAATCACGCGCCACTTCGACTTCTATCTCCTGATCTTAAGTAAACATCCAGGGCTGTTGTTTTCTTTTTTACTTTCTTCCATGTCACATATTCACAGGCTGGCATAATCGGTATCTATCTTTGCTGATCATTCACATCCTTTCATAATCTCATTAGCGATTCGAACAGTTGGATAGGCGTCCAAAAGCAATCTGAACAAAATGAGTCCCGTCAACCAACAGACAGGCTCTGGCACCATACGTCGCCATTTATTCTCGCTATCATCAGTCTTTCGCCCCCAGGCAAGCAAGAGGCCTAGGTAATTATACACAAAGAACGACAAAACATGAAAGAGATATCCTGCTAACCAAGACAACAGCATAGCTGATAATACAGTGCAGGAAGAGCCAACTTGCCAAGAAAGAATCCATTATCCTGTGTTTAATCCCCTTGATCCTCGTCACAATCCGGAAATATCGACATTGTCATGGAATCCCAATGAGCAACAGAGTTCGTCTTCGGAATCGCGCAGTCCAATGGCATGGGTCCAATCCGTCTCAAGACGATCTCTCCATAGAGCACGATCAGGTCTGATGGCGCTGAGATCGGGGTTTAATCGCCATTCAAGTGAAGAAGGCAATACCGAGAAAAGTTTCGTTAGCCCCGTTGCTCTCAGGCGCGAAAGACAACGCCACGCACTCTCATCCGGGGCGTACACTTCGGAAACACAAGAAGATATGAACTTTGGCACCGAACTATCTCGTGTGGATCTTGTACCACCTCCTCCATCATCCAATGATGAAGTGGGGTCTCTTGTCCGCGTCCCGTCTATTAATTCGATACATGGCTCGTTCGCAACAGTTCCCGCATCTGCATCTTCGCCCAAACTCTACCAACCCTCCAGCCGAGCTGTAAGTAATTCGGGGGCAAACTCGACTTGTACACAAGCCAATGATCATGATCGTGACTTCCAGGTCACTGGAAGTGGAGACTTGGAGGCGAATACGGATTCTGAGGATCACTTTACTCACACCACGCCGTCGATAGAAAACCGTTTGATGCAGCAGACATTGGGCGTTGCGATCTCTACTGACGAAGAGATTAGAATGCCCACCAACGGCCTGGCAGATCCTCAGTCGGTTCGTGGACAGCAGCAAGCAACAGATATTCAGCAGCAAAATACCAGTCGTGCAAGTTCGGATACACAAACCAGTGATGATGAACCAAGCCCAGTTCCCATCTCGAGACAATGCTCTGCTGAAGTTGGATTCGCATTCCCTGGAGTCTATCATGAGGCACTAAACCAGTGGACGCGACAACATGGCAGTCCCAGCCCTAGTCAGCACATTACCAACCCCAGTGAAAACAGTCCCAATACCAGCCGACACAGTTCCAGTCCAAGTCAACAGAGTCACAGCCTCAGCCAACACAGACCTAATTCCAGTGAACACATAATCAGGCTCCATGAACAAGGAGAAACCTCAGACGCTTCTCAAGAGCCACTCGATCACATTGTGCTTCAAGATGACACGAGTAACAACATGCCTCCATACCGTGAACACGATGAAAGTCTCATACCTCTGGTACCCCTGCAAACAACAATTACGCATTCTGAAGAGATACAGCCATTTGTCTATCCTAATCCCCTCAATTGCATCTCCAACCGGGACTTTGGCGAAAGATTGTCGTCTATTTTCGAAAGATCAAGCACACAGTGGTCAAGTGTTGAAGATCATTCCAGCCGTTACACACCCGCCGACACCACGTCGCGAGATATCACATCAACGGAAATGACCTCAATGGAATCAATGACAAACGATACATGGTCCCCATGGTCCCCGATGGACTCTGAGGTCCTATTCCCCAGCCCGGTGGAGGATGGAAACGATTATTTCCTTGTTGACGGCAAAAGAAACAGCCAGTATCCAGACAGAGGCGATGGACCAGTCAAATACACACAGCATACCACCAGCAACTGTGGTAATACCGGAGGACCCCAAGAACTAACTGAGGTGACCACTCCAGGGATGCTGTCCCTACCCCTCATATCTAATGGCATTCCGGGTGCAGGATTTGACTTTGTGGAAGAGGATACGGACGACGAGTTTTACCCTGGAATTGTGCAGCCAAGACAGTTTTGGTGAGATCTTTCGTTGATATTCTTTCATGGCCTAATCAAAAGGGGCCCCTGTCCCCTTTGGCCACACTGTATTATTACCTGCCCTCATTTAGCAGAGCCAGTACGATGTTTCCCCTGCAGCAGTTCATTCTCTCTTTCAATATCTTTTCCATGGACGTCTTTTGTAGTCTTCATACCGATATTTAACGTATGATCAACCAGTTGAAGGGTATCCCAGAACAAAAGTAGTCATAGAGGAAGATGGGGTTCAACTGTGAAGAGAAGTACTTCATCTATGACTCTATCTAGATATGTAGGTACCTAACTATAAAATTTCCACTACTTTAACAAATCAATTTAACAATAAAAGAACATCACAAATAAGAAGATATAGAGGGCATGGGCACGATGCTAGCTGTCTGTTTTTGTGATTTCTCACTAAACGCAGAGTAAAATCGTCTTGTCATTCATAACCGCATCTATACTTCATGGTATCACATATTTGAAGCTACATATATCACTGAGCAATTGACCTGGCTAACATATTCAAAAAGTGCCAACACCACCAACATTCAACACCACTCCCAATAAAGTTAAGAGCAGAACTCACTTAAGCCATACCCAGGACAACCTGCTCCTTTCTCTCCTGCCAGACATTCTTGCCCGAGCATGAACAAACCATCTTATCATTATCCCACACACCCGCACTGCGCGCAATAACACCAACAAGGGTATTCTCATCCTCGCGCTTGAACGGACCCTCCGTCCCCTTCGACACAACCATACTCCGGCCAATAAGCTCCCAAATTGCCACAGGCCTGTCCAAGAACACACTGCCCCGGCCCTTATTGTCAACATCCACAGTACCGAGAATGCCCCGGCACTCCTTGGCCGGGGCAACGGCAGCATCAGCGCCAAGCACCTTGGTCTTCAGAGATTCCCAGATACCACCTGTAGACTCGGCGCCGCGGGAGATATCTCCCGCTTCTCGAATAGTTGTCCAGTATTTGCCCGGCGACAGGCCGTTGATGGTCAGGTCGACGAGGGTCATCTTCGGCGAGACTTGGACCATGCGCGCAAGCCCGCGGATATTGTTCGTGACGCTCGTTGAGTGTGTTTCGAGGATGCAGACGGCAGAACCTATTTTAGGGTGTGTATTAGTTCGCATTGCTCATGTATGTCGCATGGGATAGCAATTAGGAACCGGGGATTCCGTACTGTTGGTAGTGCCACTGCCACGGAGGATGGCATCGCGGCCGGTGCTTTCAATCGCGGTTACGATGGAGCTAGGAGGAGCGGTGCCTTCGATAAAGACTAGCTGGTCTTTGAGGTTTGCTTCAACCTTATTGATTCCTGCCGCGGGGTTAGCTTTGATGTTAGTGGGTTTGGAATGTTCCCGTGGGATGCCTACCTTCCAGGCTATTTAGAGAGCTGGAGATAGACTTCACGCAGCCTTCGCAGGTCATTGGGACCGAGAAGGTCGTCTAGACATAAAATCGCATTAGTATTCGGTGTTTCTGAGTCATGTCGCTCAGACAAGGCTGACCTGGAATGGTTCGATCATGGCGGGGAAGAGACAGTAGATCCGAAATCGGTGGCAAGTATAGGAGTATGTGCACAACTAAACGCGAAGGATATAGAGATAAAGAGACAAAGATAATATTTCAGAAGAGAGATCCAAGACCAGAAGATGTGCAATGCACTATACAAATTCAAGGCGGGGCGTTGGATTTCAAATCGAACTCGGCTTCTGCCGAAACGTCATTCCCGAACCTCTCTCTTTTCAACATTCCCTCACGAAAAATGTCGTCCAGGTGGGCAAATGACGACCCAGAAACAGAGGCAATTATCGCGCAACAAAGACGCGAAAAAGAACTGAAAAAACGCGCTAAAGCAGAGAAACAGCGACTTGAAGAGGCCAACAAAGCTCAAGCTCGGGATGCTAAAGCCAATGGCGAGCTAGGCCCCCCGACAAAGCGACGAAGACTTTCCAACGACCCCGATGCCCATCCAGATGACGCCAAAGTGGTGAAGATCGAGAAGGAAGAGAAAAGGCAGTCAACCCTACTACGCTTTCCGGGAGGAGAATGGGGGCCCTGCAGGCATGTGGATAACTTCGAACGATTGAACCACATTGAGGAGGGCACATATGGATGGGTTTCACGCGCAAAGGACATTTCCACGGGAGAGATTGTCGCGCTGAAGAAGCTCAAGCTGGACAACTCGCCGGACGGGTTCCCAGTCACCGGGCTCCGGGAAGTCCAAACACTTCTGGAGGCGCGCCATCAAAATGTCGTTTACCTGCGGGAAGTAGTAATGGGCAATAAAATGGACGAGTGAGTTATCCGCGTTGGACTCTAAATTACATATGCTGATCAATTGGCTCCGACAGTGTATTCCTAGTTATGGACTTCCACGAACACGACCTCAAAGCCCTACTGGATGAGATGCGCGAGCCCTTCCTTCCTTCGGAGATCAAGACCGTACTGTTACAAGTGGTTGGAGGACTTGAATTCCTGCATTCACAGTGGATCATGCACCGCGACCTCAAGACCTCCAACCTATTAATGAACAATCGCGGCGAACTTAAAATCGCCGACTTTGGAATGGCCCGCTACTTCGGCGATCCGCCTCCCAAGCTCACACAGCTCGTTGTGACACTCTGGTACCGCGCGCCGGAGCTGCTCCTCGGTGCGGACAAGTACGGCACGGAGATCGACATGTGGAGCATTGGCTGTATCTTCGGTGAGCTGCTCACCAAAGAGCCTCTCTTACAGGGCAAGAACGAAGTGGACCAGGTGTCCAAAATCTTCGCCTTGACCGGACCACCGAACTCTGAAACATGGCCTGGATTCCGCTCATTGCCCAATGCCAAGTCCTTGCGGCTCCCGTCAACATCGGCACCTTCTTCGGCCGGCAACCCACCTCTGCTCCCTCGCTCCCGGTTCCCTTATCTGACCAATGCAGGCTTGAGTCTTATGTCAGGATTGCTGGCGCTGAACCCGGCCTCCCGTCCTACAGCAAGACAATGCCTCGATCACAAATATTTCAAGGAAGATCCGCGTCCCAAACCGCGAGAGATGTTCCCTACGTTCCCATCCAAGGCTGGTATGGAGAAACGGAGGCGTCATCACACGCCTGAGGCTCCTAAAAGGGGCCAGGAAGCACCCGAGCTTGACTTTGCGGGTGTATTTGGAGGTGCTCCGGGTGGAGATACTGGTGAAGCAGGGGCTGGATTTAGTCTTCGGTTGGGATAACTTCTTTTCTTCAATTATAAGAGTAAATAATAACATTTCTACTTTATTGTCTGCATTTAGGTTGATCTACATTGTACAATATAAGCCGGAGATGTGCTCCGTACCTGTCTTTAGGTGTCCCTTAAGTTTTTAATCAGGTAGAGTTTAACGTCAATATATTTCAGACTCAGGAATCAAATAACATGGAAAATATAGAAACAGCCTTGGTGCTAATGGCTATGTATAGATGCGCCCAGGTGGCTATGTAGACATGTAATCAAGGAGCTGCGGACAGGGTTGATAGCTCGGCCCCAAGCTGACCGGCTCCCCAAGCTTGTTTTCTTCTTCAACATCTCCACGCATTCTCGCTTATTCTGAATCATTTCATTTCTTACTTTCTTTTATTAATTGTCTAATCTATACTTTTGTGCGATGGCGACCAAGCAACCCGTCTCGTTCGACGCCATCATCCAGGCTGGTAATCACTCTCCGACCACCTGATGACACCTAGCAAAATCTGACTGTTTCCTCCCCAGACCGGCAAAAAAAGAAGCAAGAGGAGCTCGCAAACCAACTCCTTGGAAAGAACCGCAGATCAAGCGCCCCAGGCTCGGGCTCTGGTGCCGGCAAAAAAGCGCAGAACAAATCACAGAATGCAAAGCCTGGAAGCTTAGCAAGCAGGATCGGAGTAACCAAGGTATGAACAATCCCAAATGCGACCATGGATGCGACCACCGTTGAGGAACAATCTTTGACAATCTCTCGCGTCGATATTTAGCGCTCTGTGTCAGCCACCGTGCAACCCAACAAGAACAAGCCCGCACTCGCCACTGACAACAATCGGACACGCGGCAAACCTGGCAAGAAAGATCGCGTGAATGCGGACCAGGTCCGGGCAGCTTTTCATTCAGAGAATGGCCAAGGGAATGTGCGACTAGGAAATTCTGGCCTCAACGGCCGTGGGAGCAACATGTCCATCAAAGGTGCATCGGGCCCATTCTTTGTCGTCGGGAGGAACTTTGCGCCTGGGACAACAGCTGCCGACATTCAGTCTGCTCTTGAGCCCATTACAGGTCCTATGCTCAGCTGCCAGATAGTAGCAAGCCAGCCAAATGTTGTTGCGGAATTTGCATATGCGGAGAAGACGGCTGCAGAGCTGGTGGTTGCCAACTTCCACAACCAAAGGGTAAATGCCGTTTCTTGTCTAGTGATATCGCAAGATGGATGCTGACATATGCTCTCTAGGCTGATGGGAGACTACTCACAATGACTCTTAAATCGACGAAGACCCCAGCCCACCAAGATCCCTTCAGTGCACTCCGCGCACAAGCTGATCAGGAACGACTCCGAGCCCGTCGTGGCCCGGGCCATCTGAACGACCTCCTAGCCGAGGACCAGGGGAACTCGCAGACTGGCCTATACAGCGATGAAATGATGGTCGATGCGCCGGCTCGGAATACCCCGAAGAACCAGTACCAACGGAAATGGCGTCGTTGAACACCCAAGCCTGAGCCTGATAACTTGATTTTTGCTGCCATTTTTGGTGTAAGGAGTATCCAACGAGAAATGGTCGTGGAGATTATGCCTATTGCACTCTCATGAAATGTATGATATGGTCACAGCAGTTTATGGACATTTTTTTAGCATTCGGAGCACACTTTCTTGCAGCAAATAGCGGCGAACCGGACAAACCGGACAGAATATTGATATTTTTATTAAGGACTTTTCTTTGGCATGCGGATGATCCGTAGCCATGCTACGGTATTGCCTGTCGCTCCTCGCTACTTGCTTCTTTACACCTGCGTCAAGAAGTGAAACTATATGATCCAACACAAGCCTATGGTATTTAACCATTGCGATAACATTGGAAACAGTGAATGCTTTTCCACGATCCCCCAAGCCATCGCTCGTTATGATCTATTCAGAAACCCCCAAGACAAGAGATATATGCCGAGTGATCTCGCGCCTCCGAGGGACACAAGGATTAGACGCAACCGAGGCTAAATATAAACCAAAAACAAACATGACAAAAAAGCCAAGAACGCAAGTATAACCAAGTAATCTAGAATATATAACCAGGAATCGATCTCCAGCTGCCCATTGTCAAACGTTCCTGAGAAGAATGCTATGATCAAATCATAGGATCAACGGGTGGTGGTATTGCGTATGCTGGATTGCAAAGGGGTACATTTGCCAAAAGTTCTTGGAGATCAGTTCCCATGTACATAGTATTGGTGTTATTAGGCATACTCAAACAATATAACATATGGTGAAGCCAGACACCAGACAGTCGAGTGGATGGAGCATCAGGGGGGTCACGGCCAACACAGGCTCGAACATTAATCCACCGGGGAAGCATGGGCTCATCATTGTTGAAGATATTGACTTGCAATACCACATTATTCACCCGCATGAGACCAGCCGCTGTGCTCATGTCTGTTGTACTAGTGACAGGCAGGGGGGCGCCACTCAGTCTTTCAAGATATTCTTGATCGGATAGGCAAATCTTCATTGCTGCAGCACCAGTATCCTCCAAAACAGGGATTTGTACAGTAGGTTCCGATGTGTTTTTGCTCCAAGTGTTAGGATTCCGGATCGATACCGTAACCTGGTTCATGTTAGCATTCGTTCTCAAATTTTCACCTAGAAAGTCATACCATATGCATGGCGTACCGAAAACGGAATGGGGGCAGACACTTGAACAGGTACATCGGTTCCGGTTTGTAGTCGTCCAACTATAAATGCCGAGGTCAACGTTAGTACTGTATATGGATGTGCCTACGTCTTCATGATTGACTAGCTTGATAAACAAGAAGTCTACGTGTGAATAGGGAACATGGCTCAGATCTTTCTTATGTCCAACTCACCCCTTCCACCCAAATACCATGTGGGCCACGCTCCCGACTAATATCGAGGAATTCCTCCATGTCCATCTTCTTGGGACCAGCAACCATTTTCCCGTGTGCCCAGTAAGTTACTGAACCAGGATCATCACTCCAGACAAGATCCCCAGAACGGTAGGCAGCCATGATGGCTATCACGTTGGGGGTATTCCCATTGTCATTTCCAAACTCATCAAAGTCCTTTTTGATTCTCTCCAGAGAATCAAGGCGCTGAATGACTTCCCAGCTAACACCTGCAGGCTCGGAGTTGATCATTTCTCTATAAAATAGCGGGGGTTAGTCATTGCCATGAGAAAAGCATAGTATAGAACATTGTATTTACGTCTGTCTCTGCTTCATATTTTGGTACATTTTCAGTTTCCTTTCCCAAATGTCGGGCATGATTCCCTCATTAATGCGCCAGTGACATCTTTCAATCATGCCGTCGACATCACTATCAATTAGCAAAGAGTTTCACTTTTATTTCACTTTCATCTCAAATGTTGCAAAGAAATCTGGCATGGGTTTTACTCCTCAGCAATATCTAGGTCACATGAAGTCCATCCTTTGGGTATGTCGGCAGGATCGGTTACAGGCACATCACGGTGTCCCCATGCTTTCGGTGGCTTGAAGGTTTCATAATTTCCTTGAGGGAAGTCAGGAAGACGTAGCGCGTCCCCATGCTCGAGGAGGTCGTTTGCAAGTGCAACATGGGGGAGACTTGCATCTTGCATCTTTTTCAAAGGGTCAATTGTAAGAAATTATATCGATGACACAAGGTTCAAGGGGATATAATACCTGCTTCCCTTTCTTCGCAGCGGGCTTGGGCTTTGGGACACGACTCGAGCTGGGGTCAGGAGCCTTTGATCTCCTGGGTCGCTTCTCATCCGTGGGAAGACCAGGCAGAAGGGTCTCATTGGGTTTTCTTTTCCGACGAGTGGTGGGCATTTTGGATTAACATCAGGCTGGGTTATTGATGAAGAGGGGAGTGGAAAAAGCGGCGGATACCAATTAAGGTGAGAGATAAGAAAGAGAGAAGTTGATCTTTGAAGAGCAGGCGGCTCTATAAGAGACATCAACCTTCGTCTGTTGTCAAACAAAGACAACCGTAAAGAAGACAGACTCGTGGACTTTGACATGACGGCGAAGCTCATTGACATCCAAGTGAGAGGGGCAAGACAAAGAAATGCCTTGAGCTGAGAATAGCAAGGGTAGAACGTAAAGCAAGAAAGTAAGTGCGAAGTCCTTCAAAGACAAAGAAAAGGCCCGGCTATGGATAGTAACCAATGAACTTTTGCGACGTGCTCTGTGGTGAATTCAGAGAGAGTGGCTCCAGCTATATAACCCTAGATCAAAAGACACCGAAAAAGACGTCTAATAACTTCGAGAAAGACAGTCGCAAAATACTATCTGGTAGACATATAAAGCCAATCCAACGAGGCTGTAGGATGATTTAGGTCTGACTATAGCGGAATATGTATGCTTTATCTAGGATTTGCTCTATTATGAGAGGGAGAGCAATGATTATGGCAATCCAACAGAAGGATATTAGGCTAGACACAAGTGAAGATATGGTAAGTAGAAGAACGCTCGAGTGGAACAAGTTGCCAACTTGAAGGAACAACGTTACCACAAGTCTACGCATGGGGTAGATAAATCCCATCGTTTCTACATCTGTGCGTAACCTCACATCGCCCCTTTGTCCCTCACATGCATGCGATTTTGTCGAAAACAGGCATTTGAAAAAGCCAAGTATCATAAACCAGGTAAATTAGGCCAGGCATTTCACAATGGCATGACATTGAGGCATAAGAAATGAAGACGGTGAAAATGGCGGTCCTGATGTATTGTCGTGATAGACCCTGAATACCGCCATACCCGAGGTCTCCCTCGGGACCATTCTGCCAGAAGCTTGATCATATCCAATAGAATGGGGTTAATAAATGGCAAAGATGTATGATATAATTCGCACCGGTTCTCCGGTACCAGGGTGAGGTAGCTTACGCATGCGTAGGTAGTCCGTGACTGGGACGCCGTTCTCCTCGGTATAGGGCACGGGGCCATCCGCAGTTTGGAAGTCCCAGAAACGGTTGTTCTCCAACACAACACAATGCCCGGAGATATCATCACGCATGAAGCAGAACCCACTGGATCACGGATGATGAATCCGCTCTTCACGAAGCTGTTTACAGTTGTGGTCTTGTCACTGAGTGGGTTGCCTCCCCGGCTCCTGATACGCAAAACCGCTCCACGGTACAGTTTGCTTTGCCATTGCAGGTGGGAAATTGTGTTGGAACAGTTATTTATAACTCAGGAGGGCCCTATGTTAGTCAGTTGTTAGTGAATCGTGCCATGTTAGACTTCGTTTATTCTCTGGGAATGGACATGCCGCTCGCCCTAACTATGGAGTATTTTCATAGATATTTCCCCACGACCACAGGCAGCAGAAGCCATAAGAAACCCAGAAAAATCCATTACAAAGCATATCTGCTCGAGTTACGTATACCGGAGTACATGTGCATTTTTGCTTAATGACTTTATAACTACATTTCAGTTGAAACTCAATTGAGCGTAATTGTGGAATAAAAGATGGGCTCGAGAACTTGAAGCTCGAATGTATTTTTAGCTAGTGATCCTGAATATCAAGGAGGGATCTGGCAGAATTCCCTTTTTGCTCTCCTTCTTGGCAACTTCGTTCGCTGGCATCTCGTTGTGATGAATGGTGAAGAACATGAAGTGATCAGAAGAGAAAAGCGCCGAGATTGGAACCTCGGACCTTCGTCGACAGAGAAGGAAAAGGACCACAGTCAGGACCCATTTTGTATAGCGGGTGAGTGACTTAACAGCTTCATTTTGACGAGATGGTTTAAAAACTTCAAGCTCGCGTATGGTGGTGTTTGACGACATTTCCATGCTCCTCCTGTGTGGACCATAGACCAATTTGCGGAGCCTCCCCGGCGTCGGATTCAAGAAACATCAGCCAGTTCTTGACAGGGGTACATATTGGAGTGGTTATTTCTTGCTCACTGTACTGAAGCCCCGTATTTGCGCTGCCATACCGGCTAAGGAAGGCTGACTCAGTCTGACCGATCGATGATTTAATGGTTTCGTTGCATGGGCCCATGTCCAAGTAGGTCTACTGGACTTCACCAGGGATGAAGGCGATTTCTTTATACACCCGTAGGGCATCGTATCCGTTTGGCATCGATCCTGAAACGGGACGTCTTCACTAGTTCCTACGACAGAAATTCCCGGGCCTGCTATGTTCGGACAAATCAAGGCCCAATGACGGTCAGTAGTGGGCGTCAGCCCACAGTGACAGAATCCTAGCATATCCGGAGGGGCCCACGGAGGAGAGAAAGCACCATCCGACTCGACTCCGAGCAGAGCAGCGGAGCGGCGAAGGGGAAGACCCATACCCATAGTGTTACCCTCTAAACCGGCAACTGGGCGTTGACCGGGTTAGACAAGGGCGCCGCACACTTGTTAACTGCTGGGAAGGACATTGCGACTGGAGAAAGTCACACAGTTAGCAGTACTCGAGGCTACAAGTGAGGAGATCACTTACCAGAAGTGGTCATCAACATCGCTAGAAAGTGGAATGGAGTGTGGATGGAAGTCTCAGGTCATTTGGAGAAATATACCTGCCGACGCATTTGTCTCATATGTATCGGTTATCTTGACCTGAAATTATCCGGCCACAGCACCAATTTGCCACAGGATCGATTGGATAGTTGTCACTGGGCCACGAATTGGACATAACCATTCTTTTGCCCAACTCCCGTAGGTGGAGGTGTGGGACTTCCGAGATAGTCGGTTTCGAGAGCTAGGTGCTCCCCGTACGTACGCTACTCCACCTGGTGTCCTCGATGATCTTGCCACTTTCCTCTGTATACCTTCGAGGACGTGTGGTAAATCGGGTGAGTCAGACGAGAGGCCCTATGGATCCATGGCGATATGGTTAGTTATGTCGAGCAATATTGATACATGTGGCCTACCCGGTGCCCAGGCGAGATCCCGTGCAGGTTCAGAAAGTAAATGAGGGGACGAAATGGCAGGTGAGAGTACAAATGAGGGTAAAAAAGAGGGAAATATTAGAAAGGAAAGAAGTACAAGTGAGGGAGAAGTAAAAAAGGCAGGGTAACAGATTAGTATGTGATACATGGGTAAGGGAATATGTCAAACTGCATTGTTTAGACCTCACGGTCAGGCCAGGCTGCCGCGTAGACATCCTCATCAGCCTGCCGATTCTCAAATTCCGTCACGAGCTCCTCACAACCTTGGAGGTTGTCGAGTGGCAACCACTCATCATCGATAGGACCTCGTCCGGCCCATCGAACCAAGTACTCAGTCCATTGGTCGCGGTTGCCGTCAGCGTGTGGCCTGCCCCGTGCTGACCGTGCGCTTCGACTTCAAATCTTTCCTCGCCAGGGAATTTGTCGTCTTGTGTGGGCTGGTGGGCAGGTCGTCAGAAAGGCTCGAGGTGCTCACACTAGCGACCGGATGTACATGGCACGATGGAGCGATGTCCAAACGGTAAGCCAGTTTGCCGACACGCTCACTGGGTGCAGACAGTTCGTCAAAGGATAACATCGGTTGGGCTGTGCCAAAGATAAGCTTTGCAGGGACAATGGCTTCCTGTCAGACCTGTATTTACCCCACCCTATCTTCTTGGCTTGTAGTATTGGGGTATGAGGGAAATATATGTGCTGTGAGAAGTCCGTGACGATAGCCTCCGATGGCAGGGTAGGTACGATTGGCGAGCCTGGAAGGAACGAATTACTTGATATGCTGATGATGATCTCTACATACTACCATGCTCACCTATATTGCTTCGTGGAGACAAAGAAACAAAGGCATAAAGCACCCAAAGACCAGAAAGATCTAGCAAAAGGGGATCACTGAGCAAAGGAAGATATGCCATAAACTGTATGGAAGCAGTATCTGCATCAATGTATCGTATTTTATTTCTGATAATTGCTCTCTGGTGTAGGCTCATTGTATGTTATTGGTAGGGGTTCTACAATAATAGGAATAACCGGCTACTTATGCGGCCTTAAAGAAATTTGAACTGTTCTGGGATTTTAAAGAATGGAATTAATCTCGAACAATTTCCCAAAGCAGAGCCTCTGATGTAGGCCAGTTTAAGACATTATTCCTTTCGACAGGCGGCTAAGATAAATGAAAGGCGCCTTCAAGCTGCCCTGAAGACACCTGCTCATGCTTTGGATCTGCCCTTTTGAATATATCCTTTGCCTAAGTTCCTTCTGAAGGATTTTCAAGGCATAATGATCGTTTTCGAACTCCGCCGTGCGGGCTCCTCGCGGCAATTGGCCCCGTTTGGCCGGCAGTGGAGATCCTCTCATGGCACATGAATCAAAGTCGATGATCACTGGCACACCACCGTCTCGGTCTGCAAACATCACATTGTCCGGGTGGATATCATTTTGAACTATATGAGGGGATGAAGATCATTGATGCCCGCCTTGACGTGTCCGAGATATCTTTCAGTGTCCAGAAAGCCCTTGTCCCCCAGACGGTCCGCGAGCGTCTCCGCGTACTTTTCGAAACAGAGCCCGGTAATTCGGCCAGCTTTTACGACGCAGCCAAGATAGCGGGCCATATTGCATGAGGATTGTCTATGAGAACCTGGCACATTCGCGCTTCTTCAAGCAGGTATAAACTAAGTGAATCCGAGCCTTTGTAGCCAGTGAGCCGAGGCTGTTTGATATAAACCTCCGGACTTTCGGGTTCAGGGCATATTGTGAAGTCATCTTCAAATAAACGCCAGATATGTTCTTGCGGAATCTTCTTGAGGCGGGTTTGGTCAATAGCAGGGAGGTCCTTTGGGGACATGATGCGTTCGAGAAGCTCGGTCGAAAAGTATTCGTCGCCATCACGGAAGATGACATGAGTACATAAAAGTTTTGGGCCGTCATCAAAGCCCCATCGCTCCGCCATATCGAAGTATTTTAGTTGCATGGTTTCTTGAGATGGTGTGGCTAAGAGAATGGATCACAAGGCTGGTGATCTAGTGATATTGTTTGCCTTAAGTAGGCGAGGAAAAAAAACGGACTCACGCCGAGCATCACCCCCGGCAGCCGCATAAACCATTGATGAAGCTATCAACTGTTTCCAGGGGAACAAAATACTTGTGATAAAGGGGCCAACATACGACACTTTTGGCTCTGTATATTCACCATGCTAGTTTGCATGTCTAGTACAACTCATCAGATATATTTGTGCTTCACAACAGAAGCTACATATGGTACGGGTTTTCCGACCTCCTTTTTGGAGAAAATATCACATGCAAATGCTATACTTGACGAGATACTCGGTCGAGGCGAAGTCGAGGTCGGACTGGTCATATTGACTCCGATGAGCATGCCACATAGATCATATAGACCAGGCTTCTTTAGCAGCAGCACTGATCATCGGCTCCCAATACCTTGTAAGTAGTCGGTAGTTAGGAAGAGGCAACTCTCGTATTGAAAGTCAAGGGCGCATTTTGTGGCGCCTCTGTATGCATCATTGAAATCACACTAACGTTCTATAAAATTGTGTTATATTTTTAGGGCTTTGGACTGCCGAGCCATACCATCTTGGGACTAGTGACTGATAACAGTGCGATAAGAGGATATGATCACGTGCAGAGAAGCTTCCGCGGAGTGGTTTTGAGAAACATCTCGGCTTGGCGCGACGCAATAGAATGAGTGTCTGGGGCCCAGACGTTCTATTTGCCTGCCGCAAACGGTTCAGTTATTGCATATCTAGTAACAAGAACAAATATAGCCACTCAACCCCAAGCCAATAATGAACCAAACCACGAGGCGCGTAGCGTCGCATATCCTCCGCAGACCTCGCAACGCAGTACTTCCACGGTGCCCAGGAAGATGGAACTCCACGTTTGAACAGAGAGAATGGTCCACACCGCTAGCAAAAACATTGGCCAATGTCATGAAGGTACTTAGGCATTTCGCATTATTTTTAGCTGCACTTTTGCTGATCATTCACTTCCCTAAATTAGGTCACTGGTCCCGTACCAATCGCAGCATTCATGCGCCAGGTTTTGACTTCCCCAGATGGCGGATATTATACAACTCGAGGAGAGGGTGGAGGTGTCTTCGGCAAACATGGTGACTTCGTCACGTCGCCTGAGATCTCACAGGTCTTCGGGGAATTGATCAGTATATGGACTATCGCGGAGTGGATGGCGCAGGGGCGGGCGAGGAGTGGTGTCCAGCTGATGGAAGTTGGCCCAGGAAAAGGAACTTTGATGGATGATATGCTGCGGGTGAGTTGATGGACTTATGCCTGTCTTTTATGAAAAAGAAGGACAAGAAGATCATTGGACTGACTATGGTTTCTATAACAAACAGACTTTCAGAAACTTTAAGAGCTTTTCTTCGAGCGTTGAAGCTATTTACCTTGTGGAAGCTAGCGGAACTCTCAGAGAAGTGCAGAAGCGGCTGCTGTGCGGCGAGGAGGCAGTGATGCAGGAGACGGATATTGGATACCGGAGTGTGTGCAAGTACTTTGACGTGCCCATCGTCTGGGTGGAGGATATTCGTCTTCTACCGCATGGTGAGTGATGGTCTTAAGCCATTTGCCCTTTTTTCTGATGCTGACCGAAGATATTGGCGACACAGAAGAAGGCAAGACACCCTTCATCTTCGCGCATGAATTCTTCGACGCGCTTCCAATCCATGTGTTTGAATCTGTTCCTCCTTCTCCAGAGAACCAACAGGCCAACGAGCCAAGAACGATCATGACTCCCACCGGCCCAGCAGAACTACATAATCCGCCCAAGCCCGCGAACACCCCGCAATGGCGTGAGCTAATGGTGACATTAAATCCAAAAGCTGTCGAAGAGAACATAGAAGGAGAGCCTGAGTTCCAATTGACCAGAGCCAAAGCTTCCACGCCGTCGTCATTAGTGATCCCAGAGATCTCTCAGCGTTATCGCGCACTCAAGTCGCGGCCAGGCTCGACCATCGAGATCAGTCCTGAGAGCCGGATCTATGCTGCGGACTTTGCGCGACGTATCGGTGGTGATTCTGCTTCTGCGCTTGCTGCTAAAAAGACCTCTGGCTCTAGCCCATCCCCGTCATCACAGAAGAAGACTCCGTCTGGCGCAGCCCTGATCATGGACTACGGGACATTGTCAACTATCCCCATCGACTCTTTGCGCGGAATCAAAAGCCACCAGAAAGTGGCACCACTTTCAGAACCGGGCCGGGTTGATGTTAGTGCGGATGTGGATTTCACTTCGCTGGCTGAAGCAGCCATCGAAGGCAGTGATGGCGTTGAGGTCCACGGTCCTGTTGAACAGGGTGACTTCCTCGGCGCCATGGGTATTGAGGAGCGCATGCAGCAGCTGCTCCGGAGGGTGCAAGATGAAGAGCACAAAAATACACTGGAGACTGCCTGGAAGCGATTGGTAGAGAAGAGCGGCGGGTCAATGGGACAGATCTACAAGGTCATGGCCATTGTACCCGAAAATGGAGGACAGAGACGGCCTGTTGGTTTTGGAGGCGGCATTCAAATGTAGATCGGTCAGTATATTCTTGTGTTTGAATAGACTCGGAGCGTAGACTGCTCATTTCATGTACAATAATTCCACCTTCCATCAAATACAACAACATGGACCTGCCCAGCGTACGGAACAATAAAACAAGCTGCTCAGCCCTAACCTCCCAGAATAATAAAAAACTGAAAATGAAAACTATCAATGCATCTAAGTGGTATCTCTCCTATCAAGTTCGTTAAATCTCATGAAAAAAGGCAGATGCACAAAGTCAAGGCCCAACTCAGTATTCCTCCCAGATATCCGCAGCATAAGCCTCAGTCAGCTTAGTATCATTGCCATACTTCTGCTGCCATTCCACAAACCCTCCCTCGAGCACAAATACTTGCTGCTTCTGGCTCTCTTGCGCGCCAAGGGAGCTTTCACGCTCGCGCGCATATCGAAGGGCAGCAGAGGGACCACGTTGCTGGCTGAGTGCACAGTGGAATACAACCGTCTTCTTGTCTTTGAGAGTGCGAATAAGCTCGGGCATGCGCACGTCCAGCGTTGAGCTGGGGACCCAAGTCGATGAGTAGATATGGCCACCAACGTGGTCTGTTTCAACTGTCAGAGGACAAATATTTGATTACATGGTAAAGAATAGTTGTATACCTGAGTCTCGGACGTCGATGATCGCTAGATTGCTTGGTTCGCCGGTTGAAAGCAGGCCCGCTAGAACATCGCGGCCCATGCGGGGGAGAGTTGCGATTGAGATGGATGACATTCCTTTTTAGCTGAATCCTGTAAACTTTCTATATTAAGAAAGCTATGAAAATTGAAAGCAGAGAGATATTTGTAAGTCCACGTAGGTGTGATATTCACGATCTCCAGAAAATACCCCCAAGACATATGGCACGTGACCTACAATTTCCTTTCCAATCGGGAGACGATGATTTTCGGTCACAGCAACTTCGAGCACCTCGACCCTGCGCGCGCCCACCTCAACCGAGCTTTCATTCCGAAGCCCAGGAGACAGTCCAATTCACCCGCATAGACCTGCTCTTTTAACTCAGCGAGTCCAATCGAAATGGACTTCCGCCTCCTGGCCCGCGGCCTCCGCGCCAGGCCAACACCATGGCTCCAACAGCAGATACAGCTGCACCGCGTCGCCTCCCTCGTGAACGGAGTGCGCTACAATTCCTCCATCTCATCACCAAGCACACCCTTCAAACCCACATCTCCCACCGACCAGCCAAGCACAGCCCCCGAGGCGGCAAAGCAAGCTCAAAAGCCGATCTCCAACCTCGACCAGCCAAGCACAGCCGCCCCCGAGGCCACAAAGCCAGCCCGCAAGCAGATCTCCGACTTCGACGACATCCTCAGCAAACTCGAACTCAACAAGCCCCGAGAAGTATCCAGTAGCCAGCGTCGAATCTTCTCAGACTCGCTTTCCCGGGCTGTCGGCGAAGGTGCACAGAGCAGCTACCGGGCGCGGTCGAGGGCACTCCTACCTACACGGAAGGTCGAGCTGAAGCTCGGGCCGACGCTTGGTCGGCAGGTTCACGTTGAGCCTGAGCGTGGTACTGACCTGGCTGGTGCGTTGCGCAGGCTTCAGGCTACTCTTTCGCAGAATAGCGTTCGGCATGATGTCAACCAGCAGAAGTTCCATGTGAGGAAGGGTATGGTGCGCAAGCAAAAGAAGATGATGCGATGGAAGAAGCTGTTCAAGTTCTCCTTCCAGGGGACTGTTAAGAAGATTCAGCGTATGCAGGCGCAGGGTTGGTAGTTTTGTGCTGCTTTGGGCTTTTGTGCTGCGGCTTGTCTACTCGGCTTGTATGTATATACTGAAGAGGCTGGTGTGGGTGATGGACTGAGTGGGCAGCGTGGCATTGGCCTGAAAAACGGTGTTTTCTTTTGTCACTTGTACAACTATTATCCAGGTACTTGATTTTTCTATTGAATTTGGCTCTTGCATTAGATATGGAATGCATCGGATTTGTTTGACTCAATCACTTGGAATATAGCATCATGATATGTAGAGCACTAGCTTTTTGCTAATGGTCAATTCTGCCTCTCAAGTTAGGTACACTGTACACGTCGTAAGCGCCACTTTATATGTACCCAGGCTATACACCCATTCCTCTCGGTTCTCCATATCAATCCCTCTTCCCACTTGGGAACCCATATCCACTTCCAATCCCGTTTCCATTGGCATTGCCATTAGCAGGGCCAGAGTAGCCACCGTACCCATTGTTCCTCCCTCCATTGCCAAAGGTAATACTCGAGCCACGCGCGGGAGTCCCACCCAAAAGCCCATCCCCGTGCCAAGCGGTCCGTCCACGCCCACGCCCACCATTGCGCTCCCAGAACAACGCGACCAAAGCGCCAACAGAAGCCGCCATAATAAAGAACACGAGCTTAGAAAAGAAAGACCCAGAGCTCTTCCCAGACCCAGTCGCCAAAGCCAGCCATGACTCCAAAGCAGGCCGCGTCGGCCACCCGATACTGGCACCGCCCTCCAACCACGCAACGTGGAAAGAGAAGGTAAGCGGCTCTCCACGCACAACCTTAGTGCCGTGCCCAGCAGTCCAAGGCTCGCGCGCCGCCTGAGCAAGAGCAACAGGCTCCTCGTCTTCGTCGAGCTTGGCATTCTTGCCGGTATTATCGAACTCGGGGGTCGAGTATGCAATACCGCCAACCGCGAAACCTGGCTGCCCAGACTGGCCGCCGCGGGTCTTGCTGTTTTGTTCTGCAGCCGCGTCCGAGGCCATGTTGTGCATGACGACGTTCATATCTGTCCAGATGTGCAAGTGGCTCAGCTGGAGCGTGCCCTGCAGCGCGATTGTGAGCGGCGTAAAGGGTGGCCCGTTGTCGGCTATTGCGGAGAGGGTGTCTGCTTCTCCGGACTTCTGGTCCGAGTCTTTGTTCGCGTGCTCTGCTGCGCCGCCGGATGGTGTTAGCGGCGCTGTTGGCACGCGGCAGCTCATTGGTACATCCGAGTGGACGTAGAACTCGAGGAGATGGTACAACTCATCGGAGAGGGAGTCGATGGTGCATGTTATCGTTTCGGAGATGCCGTAGTGGAGAGAGAGAGGGCGGGCGGTTTCGTTGCAGGTCACGAAGGGGACGTATTGGAGTTTGCCGAGACTGTCAGTGACCTGGATGTTTTCGCAGTTGTTATTAGCCTTCTGCTTTTCTGTAATCTGCGCTGTTGTCCTCATTTAAGGAGACGGTGGGCAGGCTGGTGGCGCTTACATGTTCCCCTTCCCTGTAGGCGTGGAACAAGAAATGGTTAGCCAGGCTCTAGAGGTCGATTGAAGAGTAGTCTCACATGGTTCGGTTCAGACATGACACTGGGATGTCCTCTCTCAACTTGTATCCCTCGCTGTTGTCATTGGTATTCCCCGCAAGTGCGCTGGTTGGCCACAATGCGCCCAAAGACAGCAGCGCCACTGCTGTGGAAGACAGGCTCAATTGGGGTAGAGGAGACATTGTTGCTTTTGCCCCTCAACAATTGTACGTGAATAGCCGCCCCGTCGGCAATTTTCCAGAGTTCGAAGATTGCACAGCAGTCAAGGACGGAGTTCTACCGCATTGCGGAGTTGCGGACAACAAAGCGGGTTTTTCCCCTTGCTCTTCCAACCACCTCCCTACTTCCCAATTGCATCATGTCTAACCCCAAACGTCTCTATTCTATAAATTGATTCGCAATCTATAAGAAACAATACTTGGTAACGAAAAATTGAAGAGTCATTCATTTCTTTTCAAACCAAGCGAAATATGTGGAAAATCGTTGCTCGTCAAAACTACACATCCCACACTGCTTCATATAACACTAAAACACTCTAAGACAGCTTGGCCTTCTGCTTGAAAGCAAGCAAGAGACCACTGGTCGAGCTGTCGTGGTCAGCACCCGCGCCCTCGGTCTCCAGCTCGCTCTGGATGTTCTTCGCAAGGGCCTTGCCCAACTCGACACCCCACTGGTCGAACGAGTTGATGTTCCAAATGGCACCCTCGGTGAAGGTAACGTGCTCGTAGTAGGTGATTAGGGCACCCAGAGTGGAGGGGGTGATCTTCTGGGCCAAAATAGAGGTAGTGGGACGGTTGCCCAGGAAAGTCTTGTGAGCAACAAGCTCCTCGGCAGCGCCCTCAGCCTTGACCTGAGCAGGGGTCTTTCCGACCATCAGAGCCTCGGATTGAGCGAGGAAGTTAGCAGCCAGCATGCGCTGGTGCTTGCCACCCTCGACGGGGTTGTGCGACTCAGCCGCCATCAAGAAATCAGCAGGGATGAGCTTGGTACCCTGGTGCAGAAGCTGGAAGAAGCTGTGCTGCGCGTTGGTGGCAGGCTCACCGAACAAGATGGGTCCGGTAGTGTACTTGACGTATTCACCAGTGCGAGTGATGGCCTTTCCGTTGCTCTCCATGGACAGCTGCTGCAGGTAGGCGGGGAAGCGGTGCAGGTACTGATCGAAGGGAGCGACCAGGTGGGTTTGAGCACCGAAGAAGTCGCTGTACCAGACACTCAGCAGACCACCAAGAGCGGGGATGTTCTTCTCGAGGGGCGTTTCCCGGAAGTGCTTGTCCATAGCCTGGGCACCAGCCAGGAACTGGTGGAAGTTGTCGTAACCAATGTACAGAGCGACAGACAGGCCAATGGCACTCCATACGGAGTAACGTCCGCCCACCCACGACTCGAATTCGAACATGTTCTTGGCATCAATGCCGAACTTGGTGACCTCGGACTCGTTGGTCGACAGGGCCACGAAGTGCTTGGCAATGTGTGAATCCTCCTTAGCAGACTTGAGGAACCAAGACTTGGCGGTGTTGGCGTTGGTAGTGGTCTCTGCGGTAGTGAAGGTCTTGGAAGCAATCAGGAAAAGGGTGGTCTCCGGGTCAGAGTGCTTGAGCGCTTCAGCGATGTGGGTGCCGTCGATGTTAGACACGAAGTGGAGCTTCATGTCGGGGTGGCCGTAAGGCTTGAGAGCCTCGGTGACCATTACAGGGCCACTAGGTGCAGATGTCAGCTACAATTCCTGATTAACCATGGATAGAAAAGCTTACAGATCGGAACCACCAATACCAATGTTGACGATGGTGTTGATCTTCTTGCCGGTGTAACCCTTCCATTCGCCGCTGCGGACCTGCTCGGAGAACTCCTTCATGTGCTCCAGCACGGAGTTGACACCCTCAACAACGCTTTTTCCATCAACCTGCATGGGCTCATTGGCAACATTGCGCAGAGCAGCGTGGTAGACAGCGCGGTCCTCGGTGAAGTTGATGTGCTCACCACGGAACATGGCATCACGAAGCTCCTCAAGGTTGGCCTCCTTGGCGAGCTTGACCAAAAGAGAGATGGTCTCCTGGGTCAAGAAGTTCTTGGAGAAATCGAAGAGGACCTCCGTGTTGTCTACGGTGTTGGCGAACTTGTGGCTGAAGTTCTCGAAGCGCTTGGGGTCCTTCTGGAACTGATCTTTAAGAACTAGGTTGCGTCCCAAGGTAGTGTGGTGCTCCTGGAGCTCCTTCCAGGCAGGAAGATCGCTGGTTTGCGAAAAGCCGGGCATGATGACGATGGAGGGGTTCTATGGGGCAAGAGGGTCAGCGCGGGGCAAGCGGGATATATATTCAGTGTTGAGGTAAATCAGGTTCAGGATATAGAAAAGACTTGTAAACGTACTTGGAAGGTAAAGAGGGTGATAGAAAAGAGTGAAGAAACGAAAAAAGAAGTCGCAAGAAAACCAATGGCGTCAGTTGCACCCGGCGCGTTGAGGTCCGAGGGGTCGTGGGGCAACATCATCATTGCCGCATTCGGTTGTTTTACTTTATTTTGCCTATTTTACTTTATTTTATTTATTTAGTTTCCTGCTGTTATTGCTTTCATTGGCGCCTTTCAATTATTGTTTCTCCTTTTGTTCTCCGAAGGTAATGAAATATGTATACCCGGTATACCAATTCGGCCTATAGTCTCGTACTCCGTAGGCTATTGCTTTTACTGTTCTGGGCCCGGATCAATTCGAATGGAGAACACTTTTTTGTATACTGGGGCATTGGAAATTGAACGGCTATAGCTTTTTTTCTGTTGAAATGGTCCTATTCTCAAGGAAACTAATGCGTTAAACCCCTTGTCGAGATACTGGCCACTACTGCAAGTCTACATGCATTGTAATGTACCTTTCAACTCTCCCAGATGTCCAGATACATGGGGACTTGTGATCTTCTTTTGATCATTTTAAGAACAGGCGGAATTGTTCATAGAAGATATAAATATACATACTCTGTATAAGACCTGCCATTCGCAGGTACAGCCCGTGGACGGCTAAATAGTGCACGTGCCACGTTTCCAGGTGTTCCGGGCCATTCACCGCGAATCTCACCGCCTGTGCTTTTTTGTTGGCAACTGATATCGGTTTGAATTGAGCCTTGATCAACCTCAATTTCTCACAAAAGTGGTACGACTTACACCATGTATAATCCTTACCAAGGTGAGCACTGCCTTCTCCTTGACCTTTGACAAAGCCTGGTGATTTGAAAAAACTAACTCTTACTTAGCTCCGGGTCTTTATGGACGAGCGCCTGACTACGGTGCGTATGGTGCGCCTCCGGGCATGGGTGAGTTCGCTCTTTTCCCCATGATAATTTCATTTTCAATTTAGACTGACTAGCTCCAGCACCTGCTCCAGGGATGGCTGCTCCAGGCACTGCTGCTCCTCCCGGCATGCAGCAAGCAAATACCCAGCCTGGTCGTCCAGGAAGCTTCCCGCCTAACTTTCAGCCGCCTGCGAATATGCC